TTCCATTGTAGACCTATGATCTGACCCATTCCATTGTAGACCTATGAACTGACCCATTTCATTGTAGACCTATGATCTGACCCATTCCATTGTAGACTTATGATCTGGCCCATTCCATTGTTCAGATTCTTGTCCTGCTGGAAGGTGAACTTGCACCCCAGTTTTTTCAGTTCTTTTACTGCCTCTGACTGGGTTTCTTATAGGACTGGCCTGAATTTTGCTTCATCCATCTTCCCAGAAACAGAGACAAATAGAGACAAACTGAGGAATGGGTAGCTGATGGCACAGGGAAACCGATAAAATCATAAGTTACACAATAATCACAAAACATGCATAAGGCTAATCATAAAACACAAAAGACTATGAATAAACTAACCCCAAAAAACACAAATCCTGACACAAAACTTATCAACAACTTCCTCACTGACCTGTCTGGTGTGTTCCTTGGTCTTCATGATGCTGTTTAGTCACTAATATTCTGTAACAAAACTCTGAGGCCTTCACAGGTCAACTGCATTTAAACTGAAAAAAGAAAAAAAAACGTACAGGTGGACTCTTACTATGTAGGTGATCCTGAAGGCAACTGGTTGCTCTTGATTTTAGTTTGGGGTTTTATTAGTAAAATTAAATAAAAAAAAAGAAAAGAAGAGCATGTATCATTTTTCTTCCACTTCCAATAATTCTCAAAATCCCAGGTAAATACTTCTGATAGAAAAAGATTATATGTCAGAGTCTTTCTCTGGTGTACCAAATCACAAAGACATGAAAACATGATGAGAGTGTCTGCCAGCTGGAAAATCCTTCTTCACCTGGCTCAGCTTGGACTGTATACATTATTATTAGGGATGCATGATATTATAATCGGCATGGTATTGGTATCGGCTGATATCAGCAATAAAGTTATATATATATATATATATATATACTTTGTACATACCTGTAGTGTTACATCATTTTCAGCCCCCTTTCTGGCATTTGCATTTGGTAGCAGGCCAAACTGACAAAGACCATGCAGAATAATGTAGTATTTTAATTCCACAGCAGTGAAAGCTTTGTAGTCTCTGTAAGTACAGTCGGTCTAGGTAAAAAAATATCGGTATTGGTTATCGGCCAAATAAGTTTTAACATATGGGCATATCGGCCAAAAATCCAATATCGTGCGTCCCTAATTATTATTTCTGTGTTTATGTCAGAGAGATGTTGTTCATGCTGTAAGGACGATACTCCATTTGGATGGAAGGACAATATCTCCTTCCTTGCAAGTTTCTTTTATTGCATTTTGTCAAAACTTCCATCCTGGACTCCTGAGGGATTATTTCTCAGGAATTTTCCAACAACTTTAAAGTCTGTGATTTTAATCCAGTATGACAAAACGTGGCAAAGTTCAGTACCGACACAACATGGTTCCAAGTAAAACTGTGTGTTTTCTTGCAATTTTATGTAAAAAAAATAGTTGCAGCCCCTCCAGAAACAACTGAATACTGAAAATAAAGCAATTCACAAACAATAGAATAAACATAACTGCCTATTAAGAGCTTTCACCTTCTCTTCCCCTGCACACATTTATAGCCACAGAGATCCAAATAGGATTTGATATAATCTGACAGGGCGGGTCATACGCTGGGTCCAGGTCATCCTCTGCACATTGTCTAAATGAAGTAACGCAGTTTGGACAGGAATGATGAAGAGATACGTTAAAGGACAAGTTTAAAGGATCCTTTAGACCTCAGGAAAACAGGAAGAAATGGAATCTGTTCACACTGAGGTATCTGGGATCAGATGATTTGCCTCGAATAGCAACCCCTGTTCATCTCTTCAGTGTACGGTAGGACATTGTAAATATAATCAGCATTACAAGACTAGCAAGAGGATTTTAAAGGTGGTACAGCTGGTAGAGGCTAAAACGTCTTCAAGTTGGTTTCAAAATAAAGGTTTCGAAGGAAACAACTGACTGCATGGAATCTGTTTTTGTTCTTTTATTTTCAGGATACATACTTTCTTGAAAACAAGCCTTAAAAATGTACTGACTGTTGTTTCATTAAATAAAAATGAGTCGAACCGTTTCAGAATAAAGCTGTTGAAAAGATAAATGAAGTTGAAATGAAGGAGGACAGCTAATGCGCTCGTCAATATTTTCTCAACATTAAAACATTTGATTTAATTTTATCGTCCGCTGCCAGAACTGAGACATGTTTTTTGTCTGTCGTTTATCTGAACTGTTAGCAAAATATCTTAAATCATTTGACAGATTTGAATGAATCTCTCTTAAAGTAATCAGTAGATGTATGTCTAGAACTTATTAACTTTTGGAGTCAAAGCCCGTTTAAGATGGCCGCCACAGCTATGCAACCTTAGCTAACACAAAAACAGCTAAAACTCTGTCATTTTCACAGATATTAAACTAACACTTGGTGTGGTAGTAGCTGTGGATCACTCACAGAATATATGTTGAGCATGAACAGATCACATAAAGTCTGTTTTAAAACTTTGCTTCAAACTATTTAAGTCAACCGTGTCTGTCTGTTAGCAAAATATCTAATGAACCATCCAATGGATTTTCGTGAAATTTCCTGAATGTAATCTTTAAATGTACATTTAAAGCTGATGAACTTTTGGAGTCACCTCAATTCAAAATGGCCACTACAGCCAGCTGAGTTTTAGAAACACAAAATGGTTATAAGTCAACAAATTGTGCATATATTGAGCTACAATTTGGTGTGGTAGTAGCTGAGAGTCATACACTGCACGTAATTTGAGCTCTACACATTGCGCCCAAAACTTCGCCGTTAATATTTGTTAGCAAAATGTCTCGTGAACTACTGGACAACTAGGCCTTTAATTCATGTTTGAATTATCTTTCAAGATTTTTGTGAGACCTGCAGACAAGTTCATCCAAAAATCAGAACCAACAAACTGAACTTATTTGGTTGTTTTAGTTCTCTACTTGAGAAAACAGTAGACAGGGACCCACAGCAGACAAGTCTGAATCAAACACTTTTGTCCTTTAATTTAGTTTAATTTTTTTAGTTTCTTATCTCTTCTTAGTAAAAATCTCCTTTGTTTCTTTCCAGGGCAGCTCTGCTTCCCCCACCGTCCGAGCTGTAGAGGTGGTGAAGCTCGAGATGCATCTACAGCGGCGTGCCTTCATCTATTTCCATCACATATGGAGGAAACAAACCAACAGACCATCTCCTCATGTCCTCCTGTCCTCCCACCCTGACTACAATCCTCTGGTTTCACCTCAGACGTCCTCACCGTCACCTCCAGTCCTCCTCTCTTTTGTTCCCCTTACTGCTCGTTCACCCCGTCCTCTCCATGACCCACTTCTAAGGTTCCTCGTGGTCCTTCTCACCTCCCTGTGTTTAATACCTCACCAAGCACATGCAGCCTGGTTTCGGATTGGGGTGGTGGGACCGTGGGGGTGTGACCCCATCTTCGGTAAAGCCCTTCCATACGTTGCAGCGCAACTCGCCGTCAACCGCATCAACAGAGACCCCTCGCTGACGTACGGAGCGACGTTTGACTACGCTGTGCTGCAGGTAGGACATTTTTATTAGATGCATTTTTATTTACTTCTCTTTAAATTTAAAATGTTTGCGATGAAATATGGAGTTAAGACAACTTTAAAGAATTATAACGGGTTGTTTTAATGGTGTATTATGTAATTATCAAAAAAAACTAAATCTTACCTTATGTTCTTTACGTTCAGTCCTTGTAAGGTCAAGACTAAAGTAGACTGCTGCTTTGAATTTTATTCATTAGTCTTGAAGCTTTCATGATTTTCTTTTATGTTTTTTTTTATTATAAATATTTACTATTAAAATTATTCCAAATATTCATTGACAAATAAATGTAAAGTTTGTTAAGTTAGTACCTCACTTGACTGCGACCGATGGAGACAAATTGCAGACTGTATGTATGGGGGATTTGTAGGGGTCCTCAATGTCCACATGCGAGTCACATGACCTTGTTTGTCCAGGTTTGAAAATGTGGTTGAACAAACTGTCTCAAAATAGTCAGAGTTCTTGTGGACATCTGGGATGCGTCTCAATTTAGATTATGATTCTTGCATGGCGTTCTGTAATATTTGGTGGAAATCAGAATCCCAATGCAAAACCAAAACGCAAAAATGCTCAAATATAAGAAAATAACTAATTTATTAAACAAGACCCAACACAAAAGGCTGATGAGGCAGAACTAAATTACAAATGAAAATTCGAAGGAGACTCGAAAGAATAGACGTGAGTGGCTTACAAGCACAATGCACAAACGAGGGACAACAAAGTATTTAAAGAATACTTTTAATGATGGGTAATGACAAACACCTGGGCAAGACAATGAGGATCAGGTGAGAGTGGGAGGGAACAGGAGCTGAACTACAGGAAGAGAAAACCACTGCCGAAGCTGAAACACACATAAAACAAAATACAAGAATCAAAGAAACACTAAATGAATAATTCAATTCAATACAAAAAATACTTTATTAATCCCAAAGGGAAATTAAATGTTGTAACTCATCATCCTCGTTTCATTGAGATGTTATAGATGCTGATGGCTGTAGACAGGAAGGGTCTCTTGTAAAACTCTGTCCCACAGCAGATCCGAAGAAATTGTCCGCAGATGCCGTCCGATATGTCCACCCAGAGTCGACTGGCCTCTTGGTTCCCCTGGGTTGCAGGACCACCCGAATGCGGGCAGAACTCCTCCCAGAGCAATGACCACTCCTCCCAGCAGCCTGCTGAGCTGCTCTTCGCTGCGGACAGCAAGCTGCAGATGTCAGGGGGTGATCCCGTCCTTCTGCTGTCACGAGCCACATTTCCTGCCATTTCCAGGATCTCAGTGGTCAGGCACTCGAGCACAGCCAGCAAGGAGACAGGAATGCATCCACGGCACCTCCTTTTCAACTCATTTGAGATTTGGGGCTGTAGCTGAGATATTGTTTGAGCGTTGAGATGTTAATCAGCTGCTCCCGGTTATTAAAAAAAAAAAAACAGAAAACTTGTTGTTATGGTTACAGATCATAACAAATGTCCAAACTAAAAAAGTTTCAGTAAAAATCCTTCCATCTGCACAGCATCTGATACCAGCGAAAACAATCATCCAAAAACACAATAACACACAAGACACAGACCCTGACACATTCTTTGACACTATGTATACAAACTGAACATTTCAGCTCAATTTTTATCTGGAGTACTTTACAAACGTGTGATTTCAAGCGAATATTTGAATAGTTTCTTGCAATTTTGTGTCTCCAACTAATTCCCAATGGTCAGTGAAGCACTACATTTAGTCTGAGGTTAGCATTTCCCTACAAGTAATAGTTCATATGATACGTATGTTGCAAAAAAGGTAGAACAAAGATGTGGAGTAAAGTTTAGGTGTTTGCTAGAAGTGCTAGGAATTTTAGGCTTTTACTTTGCCTGGTTGCACTTAGCAAGGCAAGATTCATTTGGACCAATACAACAGACTTCTATGTAAAACGACTGTCTAATCTAATGCAAAAGTGACAGCAATGTCATATTTTCTGAAATGATGTTTGCTTGAATCATTTAAAAATATATATATTCGATTAGAATAACCATCAGCTCGACTGCTCAGGGAAAATGTCTGCCTGATATTTCAAGCTGCTAACGCTCTGAGCTATTCTAATTCTAATGAAATATTGAGTACTGATAACTCCACAAAACATAATTTCAAAACATTCGATCTGTTCAATGGATTAACTCAGTAATGAGCATAGATTAAGCTAATCTAAAGCATCAGATTTAACCTTTTCTCCGAGCAAACAGTGACACAATAGACTTAAAATTATAGCAACAAAAGTTCATGTTGGGAGAATCACACTCCAGTGGTTGCATTAGTACAAAGACACAGGTCTCCTAAAAGCCAAGCAAATCATGTCAGTGCACAAAAATATAAAAAATACATAATCTGCATAGAGTTTTGTGAACAGAACTGGCATTTTCATCATGTTCTTTTTTTATCAGTATGTATAGTGAATGTGGAACATACAGCTCTTGTACCCGTATGCAATCATTTTCCCTGAAAGAAATTAAAAGTAAAGGTAAATCCCTTAAAATGAAGCTAGATCAAGTGAGGATTAGATTCAGTGCAGTTTTTTATTTTTTTTGTTGTTGTTCTTTATTGAGTTATTTTTGAATAATCAACAAATCTTCCTTCAGGAACCGTGTGAGACATCCAGGGGTCTGGAGGCTTTTGTGGGTTTCCACACCAAAGCTTCTGGTTACATTGGACCTACCAACCCTGGATACTGTGATGCTGCTTCAATGCTGACTAAAGGCTGGAACAAAGTATGTTACAATACTGAAAGAATATTGAGTTCTTTAAAGGGATCTTCGACAAGTTGGAACAAAATACCTTATTCTATAAATTACTTCAGCTATAAAAACAAGACTGTAAAAATCCCGTAGGCTGTAAAATTTTAATAATTTTCTAAAAAATAACAACACATGGATGTCACCGTTGTATTTATGTGGCATGCATTCTGGGTAAATGACATAAACGAGATGTTCTGGTGCAAGCACCGTTCAGCTTGAATGCTAAGTGTGGACATTATCTGACATTTAGTCCTTTAATTTGAACTGGAGCGCGTTGACAGAGAAGAGACTAAAGAAATAATTCTAATTACTAATAGCATTAGCTACGGAACTGACAGTGTTAGCGCTGGGACTAATATTTATAGTAATAACCCTGGAGTTAATAGTGTTCGCTCAAAGCTAATAGCATTAGCATTACATGACATTGCTTCAGAGTTCAGTGTTTCCCCTAGATGACTTGCCATGGCTGGACGCTCATCTCGTGCATTGCACCGGAAAAATAATGACAATGGCCTTAGGTGAAAAATGCAGTAAACATGTATATTTTTAATGTAATTAGAAGTTTTCACATGTCACAAACAACTTGTAGTAGAATAGAAAAATAACAACATATTAAAGCAAACGTGCAAGTAGTCAAAGAGACGTGAAAGTTATAAAAGTTTATGGGTACATATATTAAACGGTACAGTTCAACTGGTTTCGTTTAACTCGTATAGTATCTTTTTGTCAGACTAAAAAATTTATATCTGCCTATAATATCATCCCTTAGGCAATATTTCCATGGGCTTGTGTAGGCTACGAGTTGGACAATGTTCGAAACCATCCAACCTTTGCCCTATCGATGGCGAGGCCCACCCAGGTGCTAAACAGAGTCATGAGCTACTTCAGGTGGGCTCACATTGCCATCATCTCTTCCTCAGAGGACATCTGGGTGGAAACAGCAGCTAAGGTTCGAATGTTGGCCTTTTCACCATAATTCTGCAAAATACATACATTCATAAATCAAGATAATTGTGTTCAGGCAAAACAATTCCAAAGATAGAAAAAAATGTTTATTTTTTAAATTAAGAATTAGTGGTATCTTTTTACAGTAATACATAATACAACCTGGTGGCTACACACCTATTACTTACTGTGTATGTGTCTGGTACTTAGCCAGTATATATATATATATATTACTGACTATTTACATGGTATTTACATGGTGCACACCTCCCGCGCATGTACCTGTTACTTAATTGTTAATTACCATTTACATATCTGGTACTTACTCACCTTGTACATACATGGAACTTACCTAGTACATGCTTGCTTACCTGGTATTTGTTACATACTTGGTACTTGCCTGGTACTTACCTGGTACATAATGGTACCATGCTGTGAGTTGTAGCACTATTTTTTTCCAATATTTGATTATTTTGTTTTCTTTTGTTTGAGTTCCTAGAATTTATTTTAGTATTGTTGTCTTGTTTAGGTGGCTGACTCCTTGAGGAGCCATGGCTTTCCAGTCAGACTGGTCAGTTTTATGGAAAACACACCTCATGGAATTAGACGAACTCTGGCCAAGGTCCGCAAGATGAGAGAAATACGTGGTAAAACTGATATATCTACATGGCCTGACAATGTATGTAAATCTTTTAATAATACTGAATTTTTGTTATACTTTTTTGGTGGGATGTTGCTAAAAACCTCCCACAGTAATGCTTGATGGTAAAAAGCATTTATTTATGTTGATACACTGGAGTTTAATCAGACCAATGTATAATTATTATTTTTTTAACAACAGAAAAGTTTCTAGTTCATTTCTTTTACTTTTGTCAGGTTAATTGTTTCCAAATAAAAACAATTCAGTTTTTGTTGGACAGATCTTGAAACTTATTATCATGTCCTGTCCTAGCTGTGATCCTCTGCATGCACTCGGCACTGCTTGGTGGCTCAGCCCAAAAACTTCTCCTGGAAACGGCCTACGACATGCAAATGATTGACGGCTCCTTGGTGTTTGTGTCCTATGACACTCTGCTCTACAGTCTGCCCTACCGCAATGTGACCTACCCAGCACTGAAGAGCAACAGCAAACTCGTGCGGGCCTACGATGCTGTGTTGACCATCACTATCGACTCCCCCAAAGTGTCATTCTATGATGCCTACAGAGAGGCTATGGAGAGAGGAGAGGTGGTGAGAACCCTGAAACCTCAGCAGGTAAAGTGTGTACCAGTGTGTTTGTGGGTGTTGTATTCATAAGCAAGGCAGCTGAAACTGACACGTGTCTTGCAGGTGTCTCCTCTGTTTGGTACCATCTACAACTCTATTCTGTTCATGGCTCATACAGTGCATCGAGTCCGAAAGTCAGGAGAGTGGATGTCTGGAGGAAACCTTGCACAAAGTACACGTAACCTGGACTTCCAGGTGCTGAGAGGACTGTGAAAACATTTACATGAAGTATTCAAGACAAAAGCTAAATCTAGCCTTGAGCGTGAACAGACCAAAGTACTTTTAGTGCTTGTCCTAAGACAGGATAAATGGGAAGGGTTGCATCAGAACAGGCATTCTGTGTCAAACCTTTGCTAAATCAAACATGTGGATGATCAAGAAGAAATCTGTCATGATGGTGAAGTGTGTGAGAGTAGTGATAGGCATGTAAGAACTGTGAGGCAGAGGTGGGATCTGCAGTAGGAGTGACACATGGATTCAAGGTGGAGATGGGAGCACTTCAGGGTTCAGCTGTGGAATCCTTCTTTTAATGACAAATGAGGTCAAACAGGAGTCCTCCATGAACTATAATATTTGCAAACAACATTGTGCTCTGTAGAAAGAGAATAGAGAAGCTGGAAGAGAGCCTGGAGAGGTGGACATATGATCTGGAGAGAACTAGAATGAATGTCAGTAGAAGTGAAACAAAATACATTTTACAGAATACAACTTGCCAGAAGTAGAGGTATTGAAGGCGAATGAAGATTGCGACACTAACAAAATAACAAGAAGCAGAACTGGAGGTGATAGATATAAAGATGTTGGGATTTTCAATGAAAGTGGCCAAAATGGAAAGAATTATAAATGAGTTTATCAGAAGGAAAGCTCAGTTTGAGAGTTCTGGAGACAAAGTTAGAAAGGCTGTGATGGTTTGGGCATGTGCAATGGAAGGACAGTGGATATACTGGACTAAGGATGGTGGATTTGGATCTGCCTGTGAAGAGAAAATAAGGAAGATCACAGAGGAGGTTCGTGGATGTGGAAAAGAGAAGATGAATAGGGTTGGTGTGACTGAGGAGAATGTAAGGGATAGATGGAAGTAGATGATAAGAGGAGGCAACCCCTAATGGTAGCAGCTGTTATGATCCATGTGTCCAGGAGTGATTCACAGGACACACAACATATGGAGTCTAGACGATTTTAAGTTTTTTAATAAAAAATTTTTTTTTATCTATTTGAATAGGAAAAGTAACCCCAGCTAAAACAAACAAAAAGAGGGAGAAGCCCCAAACTGGCCAGTAGTTGACTGTTGGATTTAGGAAATTCCCTCACCCTGTAGTCCAGGACCTAGCCCTGCGACCAAAAAACAAAAAAATATAGACTGCCGTTAACTCCCAAACCCAGCAAACAGTTAAGAAAACAAAATGTAGCAAGGTGAAAAATCTGGCGTTTAAAAAGGAAAGGAGCGAGAATGAGGCTGGTAAGCAGAACCCACAAACATTCGACCATGAAAAGGTGACACAGGGACATGTAACAGCAGCTAAAAGAAAAACAACTTAAAAACCAATTATTGCTCGGTCTGTAGGGTAGTATAGGCCAAACAAAAGTAGTGTTTTCTGTTAAAGTTATCTTTGTATATGTAATGTGTATCTAATTGTCTTGATAGGGCTTTAGCCACTCCATCAGAACCAGTAGCTCTGGAGAGGTTCAGCTCGACTACCTCATATTGGACACAAATGGGTTGTCCTTGCATCTGATGCCAACATACAGGTAAACATGAGCTAAGATAAAGTGTTTAGAGTGTCAATATGGGCAGCAATTGATTTTTTTTTTTTTTTTTTTTTGGCCTTAACATCCAGTTTTCCATGGGTTTGTACTAGGTTTCTCAAAATTTAGCTAAAAATCTTGCTAACCAACAAAATAAATCAACTTATCAACTGTAGCCTCACAAATAATTACAGATCTGTTCAACAACAGGATTGACATGGAGACTGGGATGATCCGCTTCTTGGGTAAAGACATTCACTTCCCACAAGGCTATGGGCCCAGGAGGGATGCAGCCTGCTGGTTTACACCTGGAGTCATCTGCTCAGGGGGTGAGGGCCGGATCAACAGGTGTATTTATCAAATTAAATAAACCTTTATTGTTATTTTAGATGGACATAACAGCAGACATTTCTCACTGGAGATCCAATAAAAACAATTACACCCACACACCAACACAATCATATCCCTCACTCCTACCCCCAAAACCGACATCCTGATGTATGTTAGAACATTTTCCACCACACTCCTGCAAAAAACCCTGAATATTCTGGTGGGAGAGAAGCTTGTTTCAGCTTTCTCTGAAAGTGCAGTCTCCTCTGGGCCTGTTTTGTGATTGCTGAAACATTTCTGTTCCAGCCCAGGTCCTTCGAGATCTACACTCCGAGAAACCTGACGTTCTCCACTCTCTCCACTGTGCGGCTGCTAATAAGGGTGGTGTGCTCAGGTTGTGAAAGTCAAAAATCATCTCCTTAGTTTTTTCCACATTAGGCAACATATTGTTGTCCTTACACCAATCCTACAGATGTTTAACCTCTGCCATTTTCATGTATGAGCCCCACCACTGTGGTATCATTCACAAACTTCATAATGTGGTTACCCCCGAATCTAGCTACTCAGTCATGCGTTAGCAATGTGAATCACAGAGGGCTGAGGACACAGCCCTGAGGGGTTCCTGAGCTCAGCATAATGGAGTTGGAGGTGTTCTTTTCAAAATGAACAGACTGTGATCTCTGAGTCAGAAAGTTCAAAATCCAGAGACATGTGGCATTGTCCAGGCCAACAAGGAGGAGTTTTTCCATTAGTCTCTGAGGAATTATGTAGTTAAATGCTGAGCTGAGATTAATGTACAGGGTTATGGCGTAGGTGTCTTTTTAATCCAAATGTGTGATAACTTGGTGCAAGGTAGAGGTAGAATGGTTTGTGTGATAGGCAAACTGAAATGGGTCAAATATGGCAGGAAAGTCTGACGAGTTGTTTTTGGCAACATTAAACTTTATGTTTATTTCTTTTCTGTTTCAGGAGTGGATCTGTTTTTGACCTTCAGCACGTTCATCGGCTTGGTGGCTGCTTCTGTCGTTATTATGGCTCTCTTGTACTTCATCCGGTACAGAGACACAAAAAACTACTAAAGCACATATTTGAGCCAATATTTAAAAAAGCAATAAGAAAATATATTACATGTTTGTAACTTTTCATTGACTGCCTTGTTTCTTGTTGCAAAGGCGTCGGATCATTCAAATTCGAATGGTCAGAGGCCCCAACAAGATCCTGCTGACTCTTGACGATGTCACTTTTATCAACCCGTCACTAAGCAACAAGGTCTGAATAAAGCTATAACTTAATTATAAATCCAAAACTCTAGAAGGTTAAAAACAAAATGTTTGCTTCCCATCTAGGTAGCTTTTAGAATTTAAAACAGAAGAATTTGGAGTTCAAACTTTAAGAGATGCTTTATTTCTGAGTTAAATTCACCCAAGTTTATTCTGATGTATCCAACTTCCTCCTGAGGGTTATTAGGAGCTTGATTAGCCTGGCTCACAAGCAAGATGTTTTGTCCTAAAGACCTTCTTTAAACAGAAGATGAAGTCTCAGCTATCAAAACTCATTTTCCCTCTAATTCATACCTTCATGTGACCAAAGCCTCTCTTGTGAGACAGCAAACTAAGACCCTAACAACCCTCAGGAAGACAGGGAAGTGGAAGTAATTATCATTGTGCAGTTAAAAACTTGAATGCCATGGTGTCCAGTTTTGAATTGGACAAACTGACGATTGGAAACGGATTGCCTTCAGCTACAGAATAGAAGTTCAGTTGCTTCTTTTAAACATTTTGGATTTGCCATGTTCTGGATGATTATCTCCATTTGCATGAATCCAAAATGATTCAAGTTGTTTTAGTTTGCTGAACTAGCTTCAAACAAGCTACTTAGTTTAAAACGTGTTTAAAGTGGAAACCCTTTCATTTACGTAGAAGCTGAGTCTGGATGACAGCAGGGCCAGCGCTGCCAGGAGCACGTCTGAACGCAGCTTTAACACGTCACTCTCCTCTCAGTCCCCGGCCACTTACGAAAACTCTAATGTTGTCGTTTTTGAGGTGAGATGGATTTACTGTACAAAATTTTTAAAAAATTAAAAATTCCATTTTTTACTAATTATATAAAGTTAGAAAAATGTGGTAAAACTTGGGATTATTTATTCAATAACAAGACAATTAGGACTTTCAGTAATTTTAGATCACTGGACAATTTGAGGGCAGCACGGTGGTGCAGTTGGTAGAGCTGCTGCCTCTCAGTGAGAAGGTCACCAGATCAAATCCCAGCCAGGGGCCTTTCTGGGTGGAGTTTGCATGTTCTCTCCGTGCATGTGTGAGTTTTCTCCAGGTACTCCAGTTTCCTCCAGACCAAAAGCATGCATGTTAGACTGATTGGTAACTCTAAATTGTTCCTAGGTGTGAGTGAGAGAGTGAATGGTTGTTTATCTTTATGTGTCCCTGTGATGGACTGGAGACCTGTCCAGGGTGTCCCCCACCTCTCACACAGTGACTGATGGACAGACATGGGCACCAGTGACCCCAGCAACCTAGAACAGAAGAAGCGGGTAAAGATAATAGATGGATGGATGGATGGATGGATGGATGGATGGATGGATGGATGGATGGATGGACTGTTTGGAAACTGATTATTTTCACAAGTGTCAGTTCACTTTGTTTCAACTAAAGTTGTTTCTTGGGTGCAAATTCCAAAAATAGAAGTCTAACATATTTCTGTGGCCTTTTAAATTGATCAAACTTTTTGAAACATGTCTTATGCCATTGTTGTGGAATAGCTCATCTAAAGCTACCACATCTCAAACTAAACTTATCAAGTTTTGTTTTTTTTCTTCAAAATATACAGCAGATTCCTGTTTCACAGTTTTCGTCATCAGTTAGATAAAAATTGTATGGGAAACGTTTTTGTGCATCAAGTAGTGAAGTTGAAGTTCCAAAACATAATTTGGCCACAAAACTTTTTTTTTTCTTTAATTCTGTTCTGGGTAGCGCTGATGAACATATGTTGTCATCTCTGTTGCGGAAGTATCTGAGAAACTCTGACGTATGTTCTCCAAACACACATCTTAGTAAATTTCAAGTCAAAGAAGGTATTCAGACAAAAGTTGGCTCAACCAAAGGATAAAATACAGGAACGCAAGCTTAGTGAAGTTTTTGCACACTGTCCAGTGCAACAAAGAACTTTGAGACCTCTATGTAGGAGAAACTAAACAGCCTCCATGATGCATGGCTCAGTACAGGAGATCCAGCTCCTCAGGCCAAGACTGCACCAATGTTTCTACAATAAGGGATCCAATTGAGGATAGTAATGTTCACATTTCACAGCTGAACAGCTGTGGCTTAGTGGTTAGAGCAGTCATCCTCCAATGCAAGAGTTGGAGGTTCGATTCCACCAGTAGTCACATGCCGAAGTGTCCCTGGGCAAGACACTGAACCCCTCATTGCCTCCGATGTGTGTCCCACTGGTGTAAGAATATGATAAGGCACTGATTAGTCATTGTATAGATATAGTAGAGTGCTGTATGAATGGGTAAATGAGAGCACAGATTGTGTTGTAAGGCACTTTTTGTATCTTGATAAGATGGAAAGGTTCTATATAAGTAAAATCCATTTACCAAGTACAGACCATTTTGTACAGAGAAGACAGATGGTTTGAGAAAAGGGTGAAAGATCTCATCTAGAAAAAGATGTATGATGTTTTTTGCTAAAAGAAGATACTATGTAAAACACTCTACATGAAAGTAAATCAAGATTGACTGGCTTTGATTAAAGACAGAATCTTGATTAGTTGTTGTTTCTCTCCACCAGGGGGACTGGGCTTGGCTGAAGAGACTTCCTGATGGAAACTTTGGCAGCATCAACTCCAAAACCAGTGATGTCTTCGAACTGGTACATGGCATGATAGAGAAGCATTGAAGATCATATCTAGTTCATCCTTATGTCCAAACAGAAAATAGAACATGACTTGGCATCTATAGTTGGACATATTTTCTCAGAAGGACCAGAAGTGGTGTGTTCATAACATTCCTGCATTTTTCTGCAGATGAACGACATGCGGAATGACAACGTCAACCCTTTCCTGGGCTTTTTTCATGACTGTGGCGTGTTCGCAATTGTGACTGAGTTCTGCTCCAGAGGCAGCCTGGAGGACCTTCTGCTGAACGAAGACGTCAAACTGGACTGGATGTTCAAGTCGTCTCTGCTGTTGGATCTGATAAAGGTAGATGATGAGTAGAGGGTTTGGGATAGAGATGAAATCAGAACAATGATCTCAATAAAATGAGCACAATTTTGTAAAGACATGAGCTGTATATCTTTCTTCATCAGTTGCTTTTAATGGTTGACATGTTTCAAGAAACTAAAAATGTTGCGACATGTTTTCTTTCTCAGGGTATGAAGTATCTTCATCATCGTGGAGTGTGTCACACTCGTCTAAAGTCTCGAAACTGCGTAGTGGACGGGCGTTTTGTCCTTAAGGTTACAGACTATGGCTATAACGAGGTCCTGGAGTCCCAGAGGTTCCCCATAGGTGAAGCACGTCCTGATGGTGAGGTTAACCTTGCCTTGCAAAGATTTTCACTTCCTTTGTCATTCAGATAGAAATGCTACCATTTGGTGATGGATTAGTAGAGTCATCAACAGTACATATCCCAAGTGCTTTGCATAGCCATTATCCGTTGAACTCAGTCCTGTTTGTGTTGGCAAAATATCCCATAACCTTCTGGATGGATTTTAGAGAATCTTTCAGAAAGTCTTCACAACTGATAAACCTTTGAGGTCAATTCATTTCAAGATGGCCATCAAACAGCTGACCAAATAAAACACAAAAATTGTTATGACTCGGACAGTTTTGCTACAGTTAGTGTGGAAGCCATCCCCAAAACATACGCTAAACGCTAAAAGATCATACAGATTAAGATTGCACATTTTATTTTCAAGATTTGATAAAAACAGTTATGATTAAGTAATTTCTTGTTTTTCTTTGTGATTTTAGTTTAACATTCTAGCATGAAAGGCAGTCCTAATATGTATTTCTTTAATTTATTTATATTACAGAGCAAGGGTGTACCATGATGGTATGGCACATGTGGACATAAGTTGATTCACTAATAAACCTCTAAAAACACATACTATGTTTGAGTATACAGTATACTATATTTGATTTCCAAATGTTTCTTTTAGTTTCATTTGCCAAACGTAGCAAGTACAGCACATAAAATAATATATAAAAAATAAGAAAATAAAGGTTGTGATACACTGAAATAAGGAAGAAAATACAACAGCAGATGACTAATTCTTCAAGACATTGTACTTTGTACCATGATTACAGTATATGTTGGGCGACTTAGTAGCACAGACAGATGCCCTCAATCTTTAAACAAAAACTTTTATTGTGACCGCAACTGCAAGAACAAACTAAATCTCCCCTGCCCGTTTGTTTCAGAGCTGTTGTGGACAGCTCCAGAGATCCTGAGGAGTGGGCAGCCAGGTCTCTACGGGACTCCCCCTGGTGACGTTTACGGCTTTTCCATCATCATGCAAGAGGTTGTGATCAGAGGACCTCCATTCTGCATGTTAGACCTATCTGATACAGGCAAGACAACAGCTGCACAAACCAGTTTTGGAGTTCATATATATATATATAGGCTATGAAGTGAGATTAGTCATAATTTAAATACTGCAAGTTGGGTTCAGGGTTTTCACTGTCACAAAACTGATACTGCATACATTTTATTTGGGTTTGTGATCTTAGTAACTTATGCAACATGTTGGGAAAGTAAGAATTAAACAATCCTGTCTTGAGTTATGAGTTGGTCAGCAGATTTGAAGTACCACTAGCATAATTCCTAAATTGGTAGGAATAGTTGGAACAGGATCTTAAAGAAACTGTGGATATGTTGAATCTTTTATGTAGGCCCCTGGTGGCTATACTCTGAAGTGCTACACAGTTAGGGTGCATTCACACCAGCCCTGTTAAGTCCGCTTTAATCGAATTCTAGCTCGTTTTCCTAGACAGTCCGGTTCACTTGGGGAGGTGTGAACACGCCATCGAACTCTGTCACGGAACAAAAAGGCGAACTCTGGCCCGGGCTAAAACCTAGGTCTCGGTCCGGTAGAAGAAAACTCCAGCGCGGTTCAAGTACACTGTGAATGTAATCAGACCAGGCTCCGCTCCACAAGCAAGAAGTGGAGTACAGCGCATGGCAAACAAACATGCATTTCTCTTACCTCATATGGAGCCGTCAGCTGCCTTGTGTGAAAAATAACATTCTCCATGGTCTTCTGCCTCATCTTCTACTCATGCTGAGTCCATTTTTGAAAAATGACAAAATATAACTCCTAAAACTGCTAAAACTTGATGCCGCTCCGTTTTTGTTTTTATTTCCAGAAGAAGAAGAAGTGTCTTCAGAGGTTTTTGTGTCGTTTCTTTCAGTAGTTCTTTGTGCAGCGCCCCCACAGGCGAGCGGGGGAATAGGTTGGTTCAACAGGTTGGCTCGACTGCACAGTGCAGTATGAATGCAAACGCACCAACTCAAATGTAAACAAAATGTTATGAATTATGAATATTATGAGTTATGAATATTGGTCCCCAACCGAACCAAGTCTACTGGACTATCAGGTGTGAAAACAACCTTATTTAACCAGGTACATCACATTCACAGATCTCTTTAGCGAGGGAGGCCTGAGGGTGTTCTTACTTGCATGTTTTTGGAAAGTGGTAAGAAATTGTAGTACCCAGAGAAAACCCACACAAATTCAATTCAGTTAAATAGCGCCAATTCACAACAAAGTTGTCTCAGGGCACTTGACAGAAACATTCACATACATAGAAAAGCCAGTCGGTTTTGAGTGAAGAAAATTGAAGAAGTCTGTTGGAAGATGGATAAAACGTCTCAGCACATAAAAGAAACACGTCCAGATGACCTGACTGAACATTGTTGGATTTTGTACCTGGATTATTGAGTATGAACTTTGGTGTTTTGAACCACTTTGCATGACTGTCTCAGAGGAGTTGCCGAGGGAGAGGGCAGGCCCCTGAGACCATCTTAAGGTCCCCACATACTCGGGTGTACTTCATTCCACTGAGGTCCACACGGACTCAATGCGGACTTGAAGCGGATGTCCATGCAAAGATAAATTTTTATGACCGCATACACGTTCTCAGTGTCACAAACTGTTTTGTAAGCGACACCAACCACTCTCTGTGTTCCGAGCAACCAGTCGCCAGGATGCGCAGCGCGACTGCCATTCTCTGTGCAGCACTGAAAGATGTGCGGTGGCTGCCATGGTGGTGAAGAAACAGGGCTAAGTGCCCAACTAGCTCACCAAACTTGCTAGAATCCATTAGAAAATATTCTAAATGTTTCTGACTGTCCATTGTCTTCACATCCTTCACCAGTGTATTAAATTCTGTTCTTCGTCCCTGGTCCGGTTTATATACCACCGTCTTTTCTTTTCTTTTTCTTTTTTCCTTTTTTTATCAAGAGGCAAGCGATCTCTTCCTCCTCCGTCCATTGACGCTATTACTGAAATTGTGAGAAATGAAGGAATTTGTCACAAGAGAATTAACATCTGTATGCTTAAGTATGAAGTTTCAGTTTGTTCACAAAGTGGATAAGGCCAGTAAACCTTTGATTCATAGCCTTTGTCTACTTTTCCTAAAGTTGTCAAAATGTCAAACTCTGGATTCTTAAGTTGGACTGTCTGACTTATGTTACTGATGTTTTCATTTTCTTTAGAGATAATAGAGAAGCTGCAAAGGCCTCCTCCTTTGTGTCGTCCAGTGGTTAGTCCAGATTTCGCTCCGATGGAGTGCATTCAGCTGATGAAGCAGTGCTGGAATGAACAGCCAGATAAGAGGCCCACATTTGATGAAATCTTTGATGAGGTCTGAAAGTTCTTTCTAAATCATCATTTTAGATAAATCTATTAGAAACACTGTTTTTCTTGACTTCTCTTACATAGCCATTAACTCTAATCTTGTTTTAGTTTAAGAATATTAACAAAGGAAAGAAGACCAACATCATAGACTCCATGCTGAGGATGCTGGAGCAGTACTCTTCTAACCTGGAGGAGCTGATCCGTGAGCGAACCGAGGAACTGGAAATTGAAAAACAGAAAACAGAAAAGCTTTTAACACAGATGTTGCCTCCGTAAGTTAGTGAACACACACTGACAATGAGTATCTCAGGGCAAAACTTCACAAATATAAATTCTGAACTCGGATCTTCTGCCAGGTGCGTTGCAGAAGCTTTGATGGTTGGTGGGACCGTGACGCCCGAATATTTTGACAACGTGTCACTCTATTTCAGCGACATTGTTGGCTTCACTACCATCTCAGCCAACAGCGAACCCATTGAGGTAGTTGACCTCCTCAACGACCTCTACACACTTTTTGATGCCATTATAGGAAACCATGATGTGTACAAGGTAACTGACTGTCTTTAGCCTTATGGCAACTGAGTCAGTAAATCTTGGGTATTGTTGCTCATTCTCTTATGTTCTGCTTCAGGTGGAGACAATAGGCGATGCCTACATGGTGGCATCAGGTGTCCCTGTCCCCAACGACAACCGCCACACTGCAGAAATTGCCAACATGTCTCTTGACATTCTCAGTGCTGTGGGAACCTTTAAAATGAGACACATGCCTGATGTTCCTGTTAGGATACGTATTGGACTCCACACAGGTGTGGAAAAATGGAAACATAGGTGTGAATTGGGTATTGCTGCCTCTTTAACAATGGGACAACAAAAGAAGCAAGCAAAAGAAAGCCTTACACTGCTCTCCCATGCCTCCTAAAAAAGTTGTGTCAGTGAGGAGTTTTAGACTTTTTTGACCATTGGAGTATTAGAGTTTTATGACTTTAAGACCAGAATTGGCCTGATTTTAGCCTTGACATGTATGGATGTTATACATAATTTCTATGCTTTTTCAACCCATGAATGCTTCGCTCAAAGAGAAGCGAGTTGCTTTTTTGGGGGCGTAAAGTTTTGATAGGACATCTCCAGATAACAGATGTATGGGAACTTGATGCCTTCAGAAGTCATGAAAACTAGATTTCACGTATGTTTGTCTTGGACTGCAGGTCCATGTGTAGCAGGCGTGGTGGGTCTCACGATGCCACGCTACTGTTTGTTTGGAGACACAGTGACCACTGCCTCTCGCATGGAGTCCAGTGGGATGCGTAAGTTACTAAAAATAATTACCATAAGCAAAAGTTTACAAATGTAAACATGCCAACTCCTTACTAAGTGAGTAATTTAATTTACCCTATCATTTAGGCTTTTCAAGTGGATGAAATTACATTCATATCTGACCATTCCTTCTGGATGCCTAACCTTTTTATTACCAATGAACATAGAGCATAAAGACCTACCGATATTCGGAAAAGCAGACTATGACAATTTATTAGATGAATGACATCTAAGATTTTGATATTGTTGAATATTGTTGAATAATTCCCATTGTACTGTCATGTTAAACAACAGTCATCTGAAGCTATGACTAGTACATACATTTTTGTACAAGTCACCCAAGTTGTCAATCCTAATTATACTGTATGTTTGTTGAAACAGCCTACAGGATCCATGTTCACCAGAGTACAGTAAAGGTCCTGAGGGAACTCAATCTTGGCTACAAGCTGGAGCTGAGAAGCCGCACAGAAGTCAAGGTAAAACATCTCATCAACAACAAAAAATAATAATTTCACAGACATGAAAAGATGAAGAAGAAATGAAGTCTCTGATTATCTTTCTATCTCTCTATCAGGGAAAAGGAATAGAAGAGACATACTGGCTTGTAGGGAAAGATGGATTTACCAAACCTCTGCCTGTTCCTCCAGAAGTCAAGTCAGGGTAGGAATTGGTCTCTGTCTTCCTGTGTTTGCCTTTCTCTCCTTCTTGCTTCCTTCCCTTCATCGTTTTCCTCCCAGTGTCCAAGTATTTTATACATTCTGAGTCCTGCACTGGCTTGAAATAGTTTCCAACCTCTCTATTTAATTTAAAGGTAAAAAATAAAGCCACATGTCCTAAACGTAGTTGCTCTAGATGTCTTAGGACTGACTTCATTTAAGAATGAACAGGTAAAGTGGCTTAATTTTATTGTTGGTCTTATCAGATACTTTAAGCCACCAAAGTTCATCTAGTTAGTATAGCAACACAATAGTAATTCACTGGAGAAAGAATAGAGACAAACCTAGTGTCTGTCTAATGCAAACATACAGGATGTTAAAGTTACTAATATTTTGTTTGTTTGAACTGCACGGGACATTTTGAGGTTGGATTTACTCTTGAATGGACTCTGCTCTGTTTATTCTATAGCTTGAGAAATTCTCCCTTATTCTCCAAACTGAGATCACTCAGAACACTGTCATGGTGCTCAGAAATATTTAACATAAAACAACAACAGAGTAAATATTATTTGAATAGTAGGAAGGATGGTTTGAATTTTCTCCTTAATTGAAATAATTTTATTTATAAAAAATTTCATCAAGTCATCACTGCTTATAGGTGTAGATATACATGGTTCAACGGTGAGGGGATTTTTCATTAGACTAGCTATAGTACTGAACAGAAACCTGGGGTTATTTTTATTCTCATCTATTAAAGATGAAAAATACACAGTTCTAGCTTTACAGAACACTTTCTTATATGTTAGCAGGCGTTCTCTCCAAGGTAAATAAAATTCTTCAATGATAGTGGAGTGTCATTTTCTTTCCAGCTTTCTCGATGCCTGTTTAAAGTATATAATTCAGAATTGAGCCAAGGAGCCGGCTTCTTTTGATTGATTACTTTATTTTTCAGCAGAGCAATTTTATCAAATGAAGTTTGCATTGAAGTTGTAAATTTATCAACCAGATGATCAAAGTCATTGTTCTCTACTGCATTACTCTACAAGAAAGAGGAAAACAATGATGGACAATAATCTTTAAATTTGTTTACAATTTTCTCTGATAAACACCTGCTATAATGACATTTAATCTCAATGGCTGTGTAGTCAGTTAATGTAAACTCAAATATTATTAAAATATGGTCAGACAGAATAGGATTTTGAGGAAGCAGGTTATTAATAAGTACTTAATCTCTATGCCACAAGTCAGAACCAGATCAAGAGTGTGATGATGAGAATGAGAAGATGTGTAGACATTTAGAGTAAAACCAGTTGACTATTAAATTTTTAAAGGATATATTGTAATTTCAACATCTACATGAATATTGAAATCCACCATTATTATGACTTTATTAATATTTAATTATAAGTCAGACAAAAAAATCTGAGAATTCAGACAAAAACTGAGAATAAAGGTCTAGTGGATGATAAATAACAACAAGTAAAAGAGGCGTTTCTGATTTCCATTTTGGATGCAAAAGACTGAGGGACAACTCAAAAGAATTATAACAAATAATGGGTTTAGTATTAAAAATCCTGACGGAAAAATAGCTACTCCTGCACCTCGACCAGTTGTTCTACTAAAAATTTTGAAAATTAGATGGAGTGGATTCATTTATACCAGTGGTTCCTAACCCTGGTCCTCGAGGAACACTGTCCTACATGTTTTAGTTGTTTCCATCATCCAACACATCTGATTCAGTGATTTAATTACTTCCTTAAGTTTGGCAGAAGCCTGTTAATCACCTTTCATTCATTCCGGTGTGTCAAAGCAGGAAAACAAATCAAACATGCAGGATAATGTTCCTGGAGGACCACGGTTGGGAACCACTGATTTTACACTAACAAAATCTTCCTGTTGTAGCCAGGTTTCTGTAAAACAGAATAAATCAGTATGGTGATCAGATCATTTACTAAAAGACTTAGAAGAAAGAGATCTGATGTTCAGTAAGCCACATTTAAGAATTTTATTCTTTTGTTCTGGTAAAGTAAATGTGTTTATTTTAATAAGATTTTTTTATGATTTATATTTTTAGAGCTGATGTTTGGTTTATTTAATTTGAGCCGTGGAGTAGCTGGCACTGCTTCAATGTGGTCTGGGTGGGTAATACTGGAGAAGCTGCAAAGAGGTGTGGAAGCCTACACCTTTGCTTCCTGGACTGGACCCTGGGTTGTCAATAATTTGGATGTCTAACAAAATCAACCATATTTCTAGAAAGAACAGCAGCTCCATTCAAAGTAGGAAAGATGCCATTTCTCTGAATCAGACCAGGTTTTCCCCAAAATGCATTACAGTTATCTATGTAGCATATGTTGTTTTCAGAACACCACCTAGACACATGTTGTCGCTGGTCACGTTGGAGAGGGGACCAGAAAAAACTACGGAGGCCAACATTTTTGCGAAGTTACACACTAAAGCAACATTAATTTTAGTGACCTCCGATTGGCGTAACTGGGTGTCATTACCGCTAATGTGAATAATAATCTTTCTGTATTTAGCCTTAGTCTTAACCAGCAGTTTCAGGTAGGATTCAGTGTTGCCTGCTCTGGCAACCCAAAATGCATTTAAGTTCAAGTTCAAGTCAGTTTATTGTCATTCGCATCACATGTGGTACATGAGGTGGAACAAAATTATGTACTAAGGGTCCTAGTTACACCCAAAAATATAAAAAATACAAAGTGTAAATAGAACAAAAAGATATACACTAAATGAACGCCAAACGGTACGCTAAAAGATCTAAGATACATGCTAAACATAATAATGTAAGACAATACGGCGTAACAACAGCAGCCTGAACATGACCGAATATTTAACTATGGTCGCTAGAGTCCCTAAAGCCACGTTTCGGACTATGGAGCTGCCAAATGATCAGTCTGCTTCTCAGCGAGTGTGTCAGTAAGCGAGGAAAACCTATTTGAAACATGAATGGGTCGGTGGTGAACCAGGGACTTAGTTTTAGTACTATGCTTACTCTGGACCATCACACAGCCTTTCTGTGGTTCCAGACTGCTAACTGGAGCTAGCCTCAGTGTCTCCGCACTACCTACGGTGACCTGACCTGGCTAGCTAGTATTTCAGCAGTGTGGAGCCAGTCTTCCAGTTCAGATAGCCTCTCCTCCCAAGCTATCATAATAATGCACATGCCACATGCCAAATGTAGATGTGTCTTGTCTTGGAAGTTCTTTGAACCTTGTTAATCAAACAAGTCACCTAACCATCACTGGTCTGCAATGTTATTACTGGGGACTATCTCTGGGGAATAAGACATACAGGATGACAATGATATGGCACTGTAGCATAAGGGGCCAACAAACCACTACCACAGGTAACCTGATAGTTACACCCTATGGCTACCAACACCATCATATCAGGAGTAACACTATTGTGTGTCGCCCTATAGAGCATTGGCAGGATTTGTCCTTTACACTTGGCAATACCATGCATGTGCCCAGTCCATAATGATGCAAAATCAAAAGGCATTGCTGAAGTCATGATGCTACTTGTCATCAGTTCATGCCTTCTGGTTACGACACCACTCCAAATGTCTGCTCTACTGTTAATGGCAGCCTACATGTGCAACAGTGAACCCCTAATCCTACTTTTGCCAGTTGTTTAGCTACAGTGGAGCATGACATGTTGTGTAGTAGAGTCCAATACCAATGTCTGAAAGGCAGGAGTTTTGGAGTGCTTGATACACAATACGGAAATCTTCTTTCAAACTGAAATATTCATATAATCACAACAACTGATGGTGTATTGACTTCTCAAACGTGTCCCATAATTAATTGAGCCACTTCATTCAGAGTATAGGAGTGGTAATAACACTAGAAAATTGGTCTAAAAGTTGTTCTGTCGTTTTTAACAGCAAACAAGCCATTGCAGGACTACAGTGTGTGTATGTGTGCTGTGATCATGGTGTTCACTTCATCTCAACAGGCAACAGGCCCACGGGCTGCAGATGGCCGAGATAGCCCAGTACAAGAAACGGAAAGCCGAGAAACAACAGCAGGAACAACTTGCAAAGAAGAAAAACTGAGGTAATGTTATGCATTATCAAAAAATGTATAACATTACTGGCTTAGTTGGCAACTGGACTCATCCTTTGTCAAACGTATTGGGGTTGAACTGTCTCAGGGTGTTACTGCTATTTGTTTGGACTTATTTGCACCTTAAGCACACGCTGTTCAAAGTTTAGGAAGAAATCTTGGCTACAACATGAAACAGCTGGTCATGAATGCATCCTAGTAAAATGGCTCTTTAATTGTATTGCTTATGTTTATGATAAAAATATTCATGAATATTTAAGAACCAAATGCACTTGAAATAAATGTATTTGCCTTTTATGTGTGGTTAAATAAGTCTTTATTGCTGACCAGCAGTTTTGTGTTGCAGGTTGTTAACAAAATATTTCGTGTAAGACTGAATTAGGTCACCTCAAGGTGCAAGTAAATGCAATAAAATGTAGCAACATCTAAAGACAGTTCAAGTGAGGGATGTAGGAATCTTATTCATAAGACGAAATTCCTTTTTCTGACAATGAAAAAACTCAGTTCTTCTACTTTACAAGTTAATTTTTTTTTTTTTTTTAATCAGCTGTTTATATGTTGCTGCTGTGACTCAAAACCATATCACTAGAAAAATGTGCGGTCCTGTACTCTGGGGAAAATTTTTAATTTTAAATTTTATTTGCTGTATTTGCACTTGCGGTACACTCACAAATTGGATTTTTGGTGATGAAAAATTAATATTTAGAAAAATGTTTTCCAAAAGTAAAATTTTCTTAAAACAGCAGACAAAAGATTTGGAAACAATTACTTAGCAGCCTATTTTTTTTGCATGCCCACTATCACTTTGTTCCCAATAAAACAAAACAACAATGAACTACTGGTAATCTTTTATTTTTTTTCTTGTCTCATAAACCTGATTTTTGTTTTTATGGCAAAACAATAACTGAGAGAAAACTGTAAACCACATAAGCTAAAATTGTTTCCAGGCAATATTCAACCAAGCTAACCTAATTCTTACTCTGTCGTTTCAAATATTGTTAATTGCACATTCTCACCACCTAGTGGCACGGGGAAGGTATTCCAGCAGTTTTGTGAAGATATGTAAACAGTGGGAAAAAAAAAAACATGAACAGACAAAAAATAATATTGAAAACATATCCAAAGTGGTGTATACGGGCAGAAAGCTAAAACTTTAAATTTTATTTACTAGCACTTTATACTTTTCACATAAAAAAAAAGAGTTCCTCAAAAAAGAATTTTTTGTGTGTGACAGCAGCTATGTGCTGATGCTAACTTTAGCTGAAACGTCCTGGTACCTGTTATTTTTTCTGCATTATCTATAGATTTTAATTTTGATGCTTAAATTACACAAAGAATGTATCCAATTTACAAGACTTACAAAAAGCCCATCCACAAATTTCTAAATTTGAGTGCCTGATGTGTTGCAAATGTTCGTGATGTTTATTTTAATATAAAGAATTTCATAATGTCAAACAGGGATCTGATAAGCTCTTTTGCCACTGCTGTCAAGAAGAAATCACGTTTTTATGTGGACGTATTCAGGTGTGCTTTACGGTGTTTTCTTTATTTTGCGTATGTGTGGCCTCTAGTTTGACTTTAAAGAGACGGTGTAGATTTGTGAAGCGGTTATAAGTAACCAGAAACTTACCTGTATCAGATAGCAGCCAGAAAATCATGGAACGATTCTCATGAAGCAACCAAGCTAACTGCTAATGAAAACGAGGACAAAATCCAGAATATTTTTAGTCATCTCAAACAGCTTAAACCTCAAAGATTTTATTGTAGTCAAATTAATTCTTAATGAATTCAGATCAGGTTTGTTTAACATGTTTTATTTTGCAAAATGTTTAACGCAAAACTTGTCATGACTATAAATGAATGCTCCGATGTGAATAGTCTTCAGTTCAAGAAAAATCTTAGACGTTTACGTAAATAACCGTAAAGATGCAAAAACTGACGTGGCACAAAACTTGTACATGGAGTTGCAAATTACTTGAACTGCTATGAAACTTGTGGTTGCAGTTTTTGTGGCTAGCTTAAATCTGTTGTGGAATTGGTCAGAAAAAGTCTGGCTAGCCTTTAGCTTAACTCTTTAGTGGAAATTTCTCCCTGATTCTCCAAATGCAGCTGTTTGCTGCAGGTAACACGCTGACTGCTAATAACCTCTCCAGTGAAACCCACTATAGACAATGATCTTATTAAAGTGCAGACATTGTAAAATCAAATTATACTCTCAGGATTTACTGTCATGCAGAAAGTTCGATTCACATGGTGGCGCTAGACCGGTCACAGTTTTCTGTTTTAGTTGTGACAGGTCTGTTTTCATGTTCCATGTGATACTTAGCAAGTAGCCGCGGGTTTGACTTCCACACTTTCTCTAATTAAAGGATTAGTTCAAGATTCATGCAGACATTTGAAAAGTTAATTAAACTGCTGTTATAAATCTGAATGTTCTGTTGCATTAAAAATATATATTTTTTGTTGTTTTAAAAGTTTTAATTTTCTAACTGGGAGCTAATGGCTAAGCTAAGCTAATTGCTAAGCTAATGGCCCTTAGCTCTGAACCTCTTTCTCATTGTCACTAAATGTAGGTTTTTCATTAAATATCCCTTTTTTTTTCCCGTTTAAAACCTTGAATTATTTCTTTTAAAACTTATTTTCGTGTTGGGATCAAACATTTTCAGTTTGTTTTCTGTTGGGTTGATTTTCTTCCTCAATCTTCTGTTTGTTCTGACTCCTTCGCCCTCTTTTCTTCCCCTCAGCATGATGCTGCATCCAACAAGAGACCTGAGGCGGGTGTTTCATAAAGCCGTGAAGAAGATCGCTCACGTACGAGTTGTGACTCAGCTCTACGTTCCCGAAGACGACCACAACGTCCTGCTAACGCACCACTAAATCACAAACGCCAGCTCTGACTGGACTCATCACCAGCATCATCACAGATCTTCACTGAAGTTTACTCTGTGCCAGCTGAGCGTCCTCCTGAAGAGAACAACGTGTTGGATCAGATTAACAGACACAGTGTTGGTTTAGCAGCCTGAGCTGAGTCTGATGTGGAAGCATCTGCTGAGTCAGCAAATGAGGGATCTGTGGAAAGTGTCGATCAGCAGCAGCAGCAAAAGAAAGCAGCTAATCTCTCGTGTTCCTTTCCTTCTCCTTGGCTCCACTTCTTGCTTGAGGTGAATCAAAGGTGGTTTCTGCGGTGCCCATTTTTAACGGAAAAGAAAATCTAATAAAAACATAATCTAAACTTTTTTTAGTCATTTACAGGATAGTTGAGAGTATTACTGTATACAAGAGATGTGAGTGGGCAGGCAGGCTTGAGTCATTAAAAAGTTTGGATGAAGTGGAGTTTTGTAAAAATAAAAAATATCTTACCAGTTGTAGATAGCTTTGTGAACGACCTCAGTTTAGAGAAATGTTTAATTGTGACCAAACAAACTACTCTGAGCGAGGCAAAGACAAAAGTAGGTTGTTTCTATCTTAAAACAACTCCGATCTCAAAAACATTTTAAAGCGGTTCATGCTAACATTTTATTTATTTTTCTTTCGGCTGCTCCCTACTTCAGGGGTCACTACAGCAAACTAACTTCGCATGAAGACTTGCAAATTGTTTTTATGCCAGATGCCCTTCCTGACACAACCACAGACCACTGAGCTACCACAGCCCTCTGTGTGGAGCACAGAGCTACTATCTAGGACACCTGGGGGAGCAGATGGTGGGGGCCTTGCTCAAGGGCCTAGAGTGGGTCAAATGAGGTGGAAACAGGCGTGGATCCTTTACCTTTCCCACCTACATTTTGATGTTGTTGGTCTGTGGAGTTGAACCAGAAACCTTTCAATCACACGACCATCTTCTGTAACCTCTGCATCACTCCCTCATGCTAATGCTAAACTGCTAAACAGGTTTAAAAAAAATAGCAGAATATAACGCTAACCGCTAACTGTTACGCAGTCTGTGCGACACGTCTTCTTCTGCTTCCAGCTGAAGTGAGACTGAAGAAAACTTGTTGACGTTATTTGGCTAATCCAAACCAGCGTTACAGCCCTGTGTATCGCATGTGGACACACAAAATGCTAAAGATGCTATATACACACACATGGTGCACGCCGCATGCATGTAGCGTTGCATGTGTGAGGGGATAGTTGGTATTTTTTGGAGATAAATGACATAAAAATAGAAGTTTTATAAAGCAGAGGAAGCATTTGAGCTATGCTGTTCAGCTAGCTGCTGCATCGACCAATCACATGTCACGTGTGCACGTAGTCAGCCAATAGCATGTCTAATGAACTCTTTGAGACACGCCCACAACAGACAGGAACAAACGTGTGAATTTTATTAGCAGATTTAAAGTTAGGGAGCTTAATTTAGCTGAAGCTAATTGGTCGACGGTTTCCAACATAAGCGAAAATGTTAATCTGCTACACGAAAAGCTAGCTTCGCTGTTAGCAGTTAGCAAGTTAGCAAAACCCTACCCACCACTAGTAATTTCACTCTTATTGTAGATATTATGAACTCAGTGATTCAAAGTTTGGTTTTGTTACATTTGTTAATTTACATTCATTAAAAGCCTGCAAGGATGAAAAAAGTAAGACTTTTTTTTTTAATCATTTTTTATTTCAACCAAATTAGGATCACCTTTTGAATTAGGATTACATTCAGCTGTTGACATCGACAAGCTCTGTTAAATTTTGCATATGACACTTGTCTTTGTAGGACAAAACCACACTGGCGCAGATTTATTTGCATTTATTTTAGAGATGTGTTCACAAGTGCTCACTCAGTTCACAGCAGAGTGCACGCAGGAGAAAGAAGTAAAACTGTGCACATTAAACAAGATGGAACCCAAGTACAATTTGCTCTGTCCTTCACACTTCATCAGTGACCTCTGGACATGTCCATATTGAGTTTTTCTGTCTCTGTTTCGTTATTTTTAATTTTCCAACTCAAAACAGCCTATATTTTCCAGTCCATTACTCTCAGGCGCTTTGTTTATATTTTGTTTGTGATTATTGGCCCCATCACCTTCTTCACAGGAACGTCATAGAGGTCAAAAGATACCATGAGCAGTGGAGGGTAGTCAGTCTCCAACATGCTGAGGACATTTTTCTTTCACCTTCAGGTAAAAGAAAAACTAAAGTCCTTTAAAGACACTACAAAGATCACCATTGCCTCGATTTATCATAAAATAAGTTATTGTAATGCTATTTTAATCTTACAATTCATGTAAAACAGGATAAAAATGTGTTTGTATACTTTAATGTCTGTTTTTAGCAGCAATTCGATACTTTTTCCTTGAACTGGTGAAAGGTGCAGAAAAAGTTGAGAAAAGCCCACAGCGCCCTCGTGTGGTCACACAGGAAGTACACCGGAAGTTTTCCATCCACACAGATGGTGTCCTGAGTGCCCTGGAGGATTATCCCCACTGATCCACTGTGTGTG